ACCAAGGCCACAGCATAAAATTTTAATTGTCATTTTGGGTCAACACAAACAATTTTGTCCAGCTAAAAGTGATTATTTATTTATTTTCAAATTACTTATAAAGCTTTAAAAATATTTTTTTCATTTCATTTGGGTTTGAGTAGAAAATGTGCTTAAAAAAAAATCCAAAATTTCACTTAGTAAGTGTCTAAAAGCTAGAGACTTGTCCACATTCTCCCCCCACTGCCTCTGAAGCCATGAATCCATGACAACAAATTAGTCACAACACAAGAATAGGTAGGACAACTGACTTTTCACCCTGGAAATCCTCCTTTTCCTATTTTTCACTGCCAAAACACAAATGAGAAACTCCAGAACTGTATTTTCACATATGCCTTGTGAATCTTCTTATACAGCTAGGGCAGGGATAATATATCTGAGTGTCTGTAGTTGCTCCCTTATTTACCACCTCTGATGTGAGGAATTCTCATTGAAGGTTTCTTATCCACCTTCCCGTTTTGGTAGAAGCACGTGCTGTGTTTTATGCATGAGCTTTACACTGCTGCAGCTAGAAGGCATAGAGATGAGGACTGCTTCTCCAAATAACCCCCTAGCTAGGAAATATAAACAATTCTCACTGAACTCCAGCAGAAAACCACAAATTGTGGTGGAAATTTTATTTCCATGAAGTTCTGCATGTGAACACAAAGGAGATGCAGAAGGGAAAGGAATGCAGCTGATGGATGTGGGTGAAGCACAGAGAAATTTAGGGTGAAATTCAGGCAGGAAGTGAGGCAAGGCTCATCCTTTTCCTAGGAAAAAGGGTCACCAGGTTGAATGCCATAAGATCTCTCACGGGGAGAGCCAAATACCCATCTGAGTTTGGGGAAGTCTCCTCCTCATCCCATATCAAAATAACTATGAGAAAAGGTGCATAAGAGCCTGCATTACCCTATTCTCTTCTTCACCAGAGAGACAGATTTTGTACTAAAAAGTGCTAAAAAAGAAAGCAGCTTGCTGCTGGTGTAGGTTGTTGTAGAGGGATTCAAAGCCTGCTGAAGGACACCACTGGTTTCCACTGGTTTAAACTGAAAGAGAGTAGATTTAGGTTGAATAGAAGAAAGAAGCTCTTCCCTGTGAGGGTGGGGAGGCCCTGGCAGCTGTGGCTGCCCCACCTCTGGAAGCATCCAAGGCCAGGTTGGACAGGGCTTGGAACAATCTGGGAATCTGGGATAGTGGAAGATATTCCTGCCATGGCAGGGGGGTAGAATGAGATGATCTTAAAATGTGCCCTCCATTCAACATAATTCTATGATTATATGATACATTTAAAAGGTTTGGAATAAAGTCCTAAACTGCAACCAAATCTGAGAAATAGCAGAAGAAGTTGTGCTGCTGGGAGACACCAGTCTACACCAGTAAGAAGATGGAATGCCAGCATCCAGTCCTAAACACTGAGGTGTTCCCTGTTATTCTATTATCCCATGATGAGCAGTAATTCAGCCCTGTTTGGATTTATAACTTGTCTGAATTTCATGTACAACTTTCATGATCTCTGTCATAATTACAAAAATTGCAAATAACTTTTTAATATCGATGTTTAAAAAATTAGTCAAATCTTTCACGGCATTTTTATTGCCTATTTACTATCTCAAATCAAATGGTTTACAACTTTGTGTTCTGAAAATATACAACATATGAAAACACTAGCCTGGCAAAATTATGCTTTTACGATAATGACAGGGGTGAGTTATAGTTGCTCTAGTTAAACTGCAATGGCTGCACAGATGCTGGGAAAAAAGTGATTGTGCAACATGTTCTGCCACCATAAGCACGGCACCTGCTCACTCCACCATGGTACATACAAGAGCATGTTAACATTTCTTTATGAATATTATTTTCAAGGATTTTAATTGCACCATAAACACTCACTTGGGGATAAAATATAAGCATGCAGGCTTTAAAAGTTACCTTGAGAAATATTCCGCCGGTTTTGCATATATGGATTTCAGAAGCAAGTTTATGAGAGATTGTATGTAATTTGTTTCTCATCTTGTAGGATTCATATATGGTTTGTTCTTCTTAGGGTCTGTATGAATTTGCAGCAGGAGAATGTAGTGATATTTACAGAGCCAGAAACCAAACCCTCCAGCTCTCAGGAAGTGACAATGTCCATCCCCAGATGAGGTGTGACACGCATGGCAGTGGCAGGAGTTTCCTGTGTCCTGCCAAGCTGCCCCTGCACCGCCCACCCATGGTCCCACTCACCCTTAAGGTGATGCCCGAGGACACCAAGCCGTGATCTGACTCCTTTTGCTCAATTTAGCCTCACAAACAGGCTGCTGAGATGGAAGTTTAATCCAAGTGTATTTCCCACTGGAGAGGGGAAGGAATATAGTGGCCATGATCTGAAATGCACATTGCAGATGTGTTAGAGATGGACAAGTGGGTTGCACTCACCCCTGCAAGAAAATACAGGAATAAAGATAATTAACATTGCTACATACATGACACAGTCATTTGCTCTAATTCTCATTACAGAAAATTTCACCTATTAAATACTGCCAGTAAATATGTGAGGATTTTGGTAAAAGTCTGTTGTCTGACTTTTCTTAAGCCAATTTTCATAAAGAACTGAAAAAAGAGTGCTTAGAAATTGGGTAAAAGCAGTCAACCAATATAGTTCTGCTTTTTGAAATTGTTGTAAATCAGAAACAAGACCTTTTTTAGTCTTTAGTCTAAGTTACTGGAATTTCAGTGAGGTAAAACACCTCCAAAGAGAAGAACCACTGCTGAAAATCAAAGTGGACTTCTACTTGTGTCCAGGATCATGGGTTTTAGGGAGGGAGAATCTTCCCATATCTGTGACTTTGATTCTTTACTTTAAACCTTCTAGTCCAGCTGGACAGAGTATGAATGAAGATCAGACATTATATACTTAGTTTTCCTCCACTGAATCTCCTCTGTCTTACTCAGTATTAAAGCCCTGCTCATGCCTTAGGCAGCAGTAGCTGACCCTTTGAATTAACACCTCCTCTGCAGTGGATGTTTCATGCATATGCCTATTGATGTATTTTAGAGTGGAGATAATTTTTATTTTGGCTATCTGCTCTGGTTTAACATTCCCAAGAAAACACCTCATCTATGTGTTTTTCTCATGCCATATACTTCCCCCTGTGCCCTGCTACAATGTCTTGTTACATTCCACACAAAAAGCCTTCTTATGTCCATCTTTGTCAGAACTCTAGGAGCCACTAAGGCATCATTTTAAAGGGCTCTTTATCACTCAGATGAGTTTTCCCCTAATTGTATCCTTTAACTCCAAAAGGGGTTTGGGGACATACTTTATATGAAAGATGCTACAGAAAACAAAAGTTGCATTGCTAGTGGTTCTGCTTTTATATTTCCATTCAGGGAAACTCTCTGCACACCAATTTGCTTTCTCTTTTCCAAAACCCATTTCCTCCTGGGGCTATTTCCTGGGACAGAGCTGTCTTCAAATAATTTAATTATCATGTGGCACACACCTTTTAAGTCCCCTCTGAAATGGTGCGTGATGCCTTTGGTTTACATCACTTGTTGGAAAACACTCCAAAGCATTGAAAAACTATTAAATTGTTACAGTATTGGATGCCAACACACAGGGCTATTAGTCTAATTCATCCTTCAGATCAAAGCCCACACAGGCAGCTCTCCTGCCTACAGCTATTTTCCTTTTACTTTCCTTCTTGACAGTAGTCCCTCATACCCCTCTGTTCTACTTTCTTTGAACATACAGATTTTCCTTTAGTCATGGAAATATAATTTACGTCTATTATGCTGCATTATAGATTGCAGATCAGGACAAGCGTGCATTACTGCCTGGAACGTCTGTTTATTGTACGTCGGTTTTCTAAAAATAAATAATTAAGAAAGCCACCCTGCTCCGCTGCGGAGAGAAAAATCCAGAGGGGGCTGCGGGGAGCAGCGCTCCGTTCTCAAAGTTTCATTTCCAAGTAGAGACCTTGAAGCATGATTTATGAGCATCACGCCGTCTGCCTTTGTCACGTTGTGGATGCGGCGGGGGAGCGCTGGCCCCGCTCCAGGCGGGACCACCCAGCGAGCGGAGCGGCTCCCGGCCCCGCACGGCCCGCAAGCTCCCGGGGCTCGGTCCGGCTGCCGGGCTCGGTCCGGCTGCCGGGGCTCGGTCCGGTTCTCGGGGCTCGGTCCGGCTCCCGGGGCTCGGTCCGGCTCCCGGGGCTCGGTCCGGTTCCGGGGCTCGGTCCGGCTGTCGGGGATCGGTCCGGTTCTCGGGGCTCGGTCCGGTTCCGGGGCTCGGTCCGGCTCCCGGGGCTCGGTCCGGTTCCGGGGCTCGGTCCGGCTGTCGGGGATCGGTCCGGCTGCCGGGCTCGGTCCGGTTCCGGGGCTCGGTCCGGCTGTCGGGCTCGGTCCGGCTCCCGGGCTCGGTCCGGCTCCCAGCCCCGCTCCCGGGGCTCGGTCCGGCTCCCCGGGCTCGGTCCGGCTCCCGGGGCTCGGTCCGGCTCCCGGCCCCGCTCCCGGGGCTCGGTCCGGCTCCCCGGGCTCGGTCCGGCTGTCGGGCTCGGTCCGGCTCCCGGGGCTCGGTCCGGCTCCCAGCCCCGCTCCCGGGGCTCGGTCCGGCTCCCCGGGCTCGGTCCGGCTCCCGGCCCCGCTCCCGGGGCTCGGTCCGGCTCCCCGGGCTCGGTCCGGCTCCCAGCCCCGCTCCCGGGGCTCGGTCCGGCTCCCGGGCTCGGTCCGGCTCCCGGCCCCGCTCCCGGGGCTCGGTTCGGTTCCCGGCCCCGCTGCCGGGCTCGGTTCGGTTCCCGGCCCCCGCAGCCTGCCCGTGCCACCCCGCTGGGGGCTACAGCACGAACAGCAAGAACAGCACCCCCCCCCCAAAAAATAATATCCGACCAGACGCGCTGTGTGGGACGCGAGAATTGCAAAAACAATCCCCACCCCATCACGGAGAGTGTGTGTGCACGGAGGAGAGGGAGTGTGAGGAGGGGGGAGAGAGGGAATGAGACAGGCAGAGGGGAGGGAAGAAGGGAGGAGGGAGTCCGAGCTCTGAGAAACATCACTCCATCTCTCTCACTCCACAGGAGCTGAGCAAGGAGCAGGACGATGTTTGACAACACGCAGTACCCCTATAACTGCTTCAATTATGATGGGGATGATTATCCTACCTGTAGTTCTGACGAAGAGAAGAAATTCACCAGACCAGCGTACAGGTAAGCTGAAGTTTTTCCAAGTCCCCCTGTCTGTGGTGAGGTTTCTGAGCTCTGGGCTGGTGGGATCACAGCTCTCAGGGAAGCAGGGCCAGGTGTGTGCGAAGGGTCTGGCCCTGGTGCAGGCACTGCAGTGGGCAGGTTTCCCCCTTTCTGTGTGTGAAGTGTTCGTGATTTGCTTCTGCCCATGAGGGGTCACAGCAACCCTGGCATGCCCTTAGGACTCCAGAGCTCAGAGAGTCTCCAACCTCCAGGACCCCTGGGAGAAGGGAATGAAATGTTGCAAAGGGCCCAGGGGTGAATTGGATGCAGAAAATCCCGGTGTGGTGGGAAGAGGCAGGGTGTAGGTGTTCACAGGGACGCCCAAGGTCCTTCCATGAGCAGGGCTGGTCTCCAGTGACAGCGACTCTGAGCCTGCCCTGCCTCACTGCAGCCTTCCTGCCCAGGGAAACTTTTCAGATGGAGTTGCAGAGGTGTGTGATCCTGACCTCTGCACCGAGCACCAGCCCTGAGGACTCAATGCCTGGCAGTGCCTCTGCTGTGTCACCTGGGGCTCGTGGAGGACAGGCAGTGACCACACTCAGGACTTCTCCCTGCGACACCTTGGGTCAGGGCGCAGAGCCACCGGGGCAATTTTGGAAGCAGGATATAGGCACTCGTGTACCCATGTGGTCCTAAAAACTGAGTCTGTGAGTAGGGCGATGGTGTAACAGCAAGTTTTCCTTTTTCCAGCTACATTGCCTTAATTGCAATGGCCATCCAGCAAAGCCCTTCAAATAAAGTCACCCTCTCTGGCATTTATGACTTTATAATGAAGAAATTTCCTTACTACAGATCAAATCAAAGAGCCTGGCAGAACTCCATCCGACATAACTTATCGCTTAACAGTTGTTTTGTGAAGGTAAGATCAGTTACTGTGTATTTACATACACACTGTGCATGGCTAAAAAAATATAGGCAGCAATAATCTCATCACTAGGAAAGAAGGGAAACAAACAGCTGAGCTGCAAATCACTTAAAAACCCTCTGAGTTGTCAATTACAGAGATAAGGAATATATCCTTGTCTGATATATGCTAATAGTAACAAATTGAAGAGGATGGGGCTTACATCTTACTCACATATGACAGAGAATAGGCTTAAAAGTCTTGTCATATGTGTTTACACCATTCTTAAATGTAAATGAATGCAGATGCTAAACAGCAGCATCTGTACCACATGCAAACACTGAACTGCCTTTACATAAATACAGGTTCCCAGAACAGAAGGGAATGAGAAGGGGAAAGGAAACTATTGGAGCTTTGCAGCAGGATGCGAATCCATGCTGGATCTCTTTGAAAATGGGAATTACAGGAGAAGACGGAGGAGGAGGAACATGAAAAGGGAACACAAGGAGCAGAGACCGAGCAGAGGGAAAAGTCCTTCGTCCCCCAGTATCTCTTCTGTGGACTCTGCTTTGAACAACGTTTCCTCTTCTGAAAGTAAACATGAAAGAATTGAACCAGGCCCGAAACTTCTGGAGCCTTGTGGGTTTGCTCCAAACAGCGTGACCAACAGGCAGAGCCTAAGCAGTTCCTCCCTAGCAAAATCGGATTCTGAAATCAAATTTAGCATCGATTACATCCTTTCAGCCCCCGACCCTTTGCCTGTCCTGAGATCTCAATATAACATGCAAGAAAATAAATATCACTTACTGGAGGCCCCGCATATTAATCTCCAGTTCTGGACAATGTGATGTTATTTATTCATGGTAACAAAGTCTGAGTCCCAGTGTGTTCAGCAGCCTCATGGCACTGAAAATCAGCCGCCTGCCTCCTCATTTTCCTCCCAAACCGTGCTCAGAAAGGGTTACAGACTCACCAGCTGATGCCATGTCTGTACCCAAGGAACTTTGCTAAGATTAAAGCATAAATAGCTGTTACCAATATCAGTTTTCACCATGCTGAAATTTATGAAATTCTGGCTTTATTTTCTAAACTGTCTTGGACATAATTTAGCACCACAAAGAATTTCCTTTCTCAAGCAGAATCTGACAGAGAAGAGACTTGCTTATCATCCACTGCTTTATTAAAGACAAAGTGAATTTGATCCCACTTGCAGTGGTGGAAATTAGGATTAACTCCACTGGAGTATATAGGTCAGAACTTAAGCTGATCTAAAACAGTGTAATTCTGTTGACTTACACTGGCTGGGAATGTGGGGGGGCGAGGGGGTGGAAATTTGTTTCTTAAAAGGAATTATAAAAAATCGCCCTGTCTTCTCTTTTTTTTTTTTTTTTTTCTTTTAACATCATATTTCAAACTGTTTTGCAGCTTTAATTCATTGTTCATTAGGAAATGTAGTTACTGATAAGTATTTAAAGTATATTTTTGTTTATATTCGGGACAGAATTGTTTAAATTGTTGAAGTCAAGTTGTATTTACAATAATTCCAAGAGACTTAATTACAAGATGCTGAACTCTGGTAGATTTTGATATGTAATGTGACAGTCAAAGAGTCTCTTAATGCCTTGGTTAAAAAAAACCACAATACTTCTTTCCTTGTACTATCAGAAATCTTCCTGAGATGCTGCAGAAAATCCTTGACCATATTTCATTTAGCAAGTGTGAAGGGAAACCTGGCACTGCAAAAAGCTCTGTCAAGTGTCGAGCAAAGCTAAAGTTCCACATATCTGCTCTGAGACAAGTTGTATATTCCCATTAAACTGATTTTTATTGATCCTTCTTGCAAGCAATTACCAAAGTGGTGCTTGATATGATTTCGGCTAAACTGGTGAGATTGATAATTTCCAGATATCAATGTTAGCTCATGAGCTCCATTTCTGAGAAAGCCACTTCATTACCATTTACATGCAGTGGATATTTTGGAACAGAACCTGATGGACAATGATGAACTGTAACGAGCTTTTAGGAAGTTGCTTTTATACAACTTGTTCACAATGAATTGCTTCCCAGAACATAAACCAGGTTAGCAAAGGTTCCACAAAATCCTGGCTTTGACTTGGCTGTTACAGTCTTCACCTACTGCAGATAAAAGGAAAAAAAGACAAGAATTCTGATGGTTTTAAGCAATTAAATACAGAGATAAAATTATCTTTGCAACAGGAACTAAAGGTAAATGAAGGTATATGAGATAAGATTCAGCATAGAGGTATGCTCAGGCATGACTTGAATTTTTATGCAGAAGCTTTGGCATTTCACTAAGTTATTTTACATTGTGTCTAATATATACTGTACATTTATACTATATATTCTTATATATTGTTATTGAGAAAGGGAGCAATATCACTGCACTTATATGTTGTAAAAATGCATGATGTATGTTGTCATGATGCTGAAACTCCTGCCATATACTTAAAATTTACCATCAGTGGTATTTCACACTGATTGGTAATAAATGCCCATTTTTTGGAAAACTATAAAACTTGTTCTCTTCAAGCATTTCTACAGCACGCAAAAGTCTTTGCTTCTTCTTCAGAAAAGAGAAAATGGAAAATCATGTCAGTTACATCACTGCATGTCTTCCAAACTTTGAAGGGATGATTTCTTGAGACCAAATTCTGCCTCCAAATGGGAGCTTTCAATTCTATGTGAATCAACAGTTATTCTGGGTGAAAATCTGAAAGCAAAATTTGACTCTTTAGACCTGATTATCTGCTGTTTACATTGATATTAGAAAAAGAAGAAAACCTCTGGGGGGACTGCACAGATGGATTCTCATGCGAAGAGGAACAAGAATTTGCTCCTTTAGTGTTTATGCTCAGTAGTAAATAGGTGTGGGAAGAGCATGTCCTCACTTAGTGCTTCAGTGTTTGCATGCCCTCATTCTGGGTGGGTACTTGTGCACCTCTGGGATCCTGCCTACAGATAAATATTCCTGTTTTATACACAGATCTTTTTTTCCTGATTGTTTCAAACATGGCAATGCTGCTGTTGGGCTGATGGTACACACCTGCAGTATATTTGAAATACGTATTTTCTGCTGTGAAACATGCAAATATGAGTGTTACTATGTGTTCTTGGTTGATGCTGTTAACAAGAGATAATTCAGTGACAGCAAAAGTTCCTCCTGAGCAACACCTGGGTAAGGTGAACATTGTGGGCTGCTGAGACCAGTGGAGAAGCAGTTTATGGCTACTAATCAATGTAGAATTAATGCATTAGGAAAGGCAGAAATACACCCAAGTGGATTTACAGCAGAGATCCAAAGCCATTTTCTGTAAGATGAATTAATATTCACAAATAGCCATGTCCTTTGCTCACAGTAAAGTGCCTGGTAGGAGAGACTGTCATAATTTAGTTTCCCTAACATATAATCAAAGAAATTTGTGTACAAATAGGTGTTAACATTTGTTTTGCAAAGGATATCAATCATATTTCAAAAAATGAAGGGACATATTTCAATTTACCCAGTATATTCTGACGACTCCAGAAAGGTTTCCAGCAGTTAAAGTGAATGGCATTTAATATAGAACAACATAACAGGGGTGAGGGCTAGACGTGACCTTATTCAAATGTCGTAGCCATTACAAAGCCATTCCCAATGTAATTATAATTAAATACTTTATGCCTTTCTTGCAAATCCTCTGATCGATCATTGATATTAACATTAATATTGTATTACCCCCAAGCAAATATCTCCCACACAAGTGTTATGGATCACCAGGTTTCCATTAACAAAGTTGTGAGCTATTGCCGTGTGCTGGTCGTGGATAAATTTACGTAAATTACTTTTTCTCAGGGAAGAGGGGAAAAAGTCCGGGTTTCTTTCTGCTCTGAATCCAGAGATATTTCTTCAGCTCCATCACAGCCTGCCAACCACTTGCATAAAGAAAAAACCCAAAATCTCCCAGGAGCATCCCTCTTTGCCCTGTGCCAAAGCAGGTGAATATTGTCCCGTTTGGCACCGGGGTTCAACGCTGAGCTGAAGCCAGGGATGAGCAGTGCAGGGCAAGGCTCTGCACCCTCCAGGACCATCAGCGGGCTGGGCAGGCTGGGTGTTGGATCAATTCCTCATCTCATGGCACCTTCCTGACTGCAGAGGTGCCTCCCGTGGGGCTGACCCTGTCCCAAGGCTGGGTGAGGCAGGAGGGGGCTGTGGGACAGCAGCTCCTGCCTGCCGGGCTGGGGGCACGGGGAGGGGCAGCAAGCCCATAGAGCTCTCCCTTCAGCATCATAAATACCTCTGCAAAGGAAAGATGAAAGGTTTCTTTCTGGGGAGAGGCAAGGCTTGGCCTCACTGAGGGACCCTGGAGGCGGGTTGTTTGTTTATCCTTCTAAAGGAAGGCTTCCCATGACAAAACAAAGACTTTGATGGAGCCACATCAGGTTATCATGCAGCGATTTCACTGATTTAATTTCTTAGACTTTTGCCATTGGTGTCACAGAAGTGGTTTTTGTGTGGCAAAATGATCATCAGCCTCAGAATGAAGGTCAAAGTACTTGGGCAAAGATGCATCTTTTCTCCCCCAGTGAAGAGAGGCCAGATAACACCCAAGGCAGGCCAGCAGCTGACCTCACTTACAGGGACCTCTCCCTCAGCAGAACCTCCTGCACATTATGGGAGCATTAATGCAGACTGGGATAGCTGAAAACAAACCTTTTCTTTGACAGTAAAGCCAAGTTCCCCTATTTTTCTGCCAATCAGATCTTACTAGTCTCTTTTAGTTGAGACGTATTAACTCCTCATATAAAGAGAAGCTGTGCTCAAAGAGCATTTGAAGGTCAACCCACCCTGGAGATCTGGCTCTCCCCATGCCTTTGCTTTGTTGAGCTCCACGCCATGGCCTGAACTGCCACGGCATTCCTCAGCCACTCAGCAGATTGGTTTCTCCCTCAAAACCAAATCCTGATTTCTGCAGTTTTCTGGTCACAGAGGGTTTCTCTTTTGGCTACCACTTGCCTGTTCAGGTCTGAATCTTGTGAGTCTTTCCCAGTCTCTAGCAACAGAGGACACAGTGAGAGAGGAAGGGGTTTGGAGGGAAGAGCCTCGGGGAAAAACTTTGCTACACATATTCCAGTAGTACAGAGCTGGTGTCTCAAGGACTCTTGGGGTTGTGTGCCAAGTCTCTGCTGTAAATTCAAGCCCAGATGCACTCAATCTCAGGGATAAAGAGGGCACCTCCACCACATACCCCTGAGCACCCAGGGACCTGAACCCTCAGCTCTGGCAGTGTAACACAAATTCCTGTCTGTGATCAGCCCTTCAGATCCCAAAGTCAAAACATGGAAATCCTGTGCTGCTCATTCCAGCTGACCTCTCCCCTCTCTTTCTCTTCTGGGCCATGCTCTCCTCCCTTCTGTGAGGGTGTAAATCCTTGCAAATCTGTTAACTTTGGTGTAATTTCCTCTGGAATTGAAATAGCACATGTGAATCCAACCTTTGCATCTCTCTACCCAACATCTCTCATCTCACAGTCTGCAAAACTCTGCCAGCATCTCCTCTCCTAGACAGAATTCTCAGAGCAACAAATGGTCCTAACATCTTTATTTTGCCTTAGCATTAACTTCTAATTGCTTTCACCAGAACATGGGTACCATCTGCACTGCTCTGCACAAAGAACCTTGTCTCTGTCTCTGTTGCACTGGGAATGTCTTTCTTTTTGCACTTAGGGTCATTAAATTAAAGAACAGGGTAGGTCCAAGTCCTATGGAACTGCCACTAGAGTCTTTTTTACCCGGAGAGCAAACATTAAATAACAAAGTAAGTTGTGCTCCCTCCCACCCTTGCTACAGTGGTTGGAGGCAAATCCAACTGTGAGAATTTTGCCTGAGAAAGAACTGCCGGATTTCTCCCACTGTGAAATCCAGCTGTTAATTCAAACAGAAGGGATGGACCTGACCAGATAGGCCAACTGGCTTGTTTCCATCCTAAAGTCCATTGTGTTCCACAAGTTCCTAAATTTATGGTCATGAAGGTCTTCCAAGCCCTGTAATGAAGTATGGCATGCAATGTTTTTGTTATGGAATGTGGGCTGCAAAGGAAAAAAGAAGGTTTGAATTTATCTTTCAAATGAAGATCCTGGAATCTCTCAGGATAAACAAGCTAAATTAGGAATAAAAATACACCATGTTTCTCACCATAACTATGGAACTGAAAATAGCACTTGCAGAGCACTGACAGAAGAAGAAAACTAGAAGTTGCAGTAAGCCCAAAGCAAACTTCTTTTTGTCGTGTTTCTCTGTGTGTTCCCTGCCCTTTGTAGCAGTGAATGAACCCTGCTATGCCAGCAACAGGAGCCCCCTTTCATCTTTTGGGAGTGGTTCTTCTGACAGAGTATTTTGGAAAAAATCCTCTGCAAAACTGAGCTGGTCTCCATCAGCAGCATTTACATTGGGCACAAACCACCTCGTCTTGCTCTGAGCAAGTTGAAAATAAGGTACAGAAATGCTCTTTGACTTGTCAGCCTGCGTGGTGCAGCTCAGTGCAGCTCTCTCAGCGCTCCAGCTCCACAGACTGAACATTCTGCACAAAAGCTGCTCCCTGTTAGGTCTTAATTTGAGACATGATAAAGAATTAATGGTCTTGAAAGTTTGTTCCGTTTCCATGCTGATATCAGTGGTTCTAAATAAAAAGACAACAGAAACCAAACGAGGCTTCCTGAAATTTTCACAGTAGAGAACTCTGCTCTGTCCCACAGCCATTAAACCTTTTTGTCAGCCCTGCACTGGCCCCAACAGCCCCACTCTGGATCCAGCTGCCCCCCAAAGCTGCACTTTCCACAGCTGCTGATGCTGAAGCACTGTCATGTTCTCCTTGTGCAGGGAAAAACATTAGGATGGAACCAGCTTCCCTCTTGGGCCCAAAGGCTCTGCTGACCATTAGCCATCTGTCTCAAGCAAGATCTGCTCTAGCTGAAAATGCTTTTGGAGGATTCATGCCACAGACATTTAACCCTAGGACAAAACTGCTCCCCATCTTCCCCTCTTTGCTGGAGGCATTGCACTCTGCTGGCACTGGCTGCATCCAGCATCCTCTGCTGCCATCCCCTCCTTCCAGCACGGCCTCTCTGAGCCTGCAGAAAAGAAGCAGCACTTCCCATAAAAGTGGATGTGGAAAATAACAGGTGCAATGAGCTGTGTTTCATGATTAATCTGTCTCAAGCTCTTCCGAGGCTGAGAGCTGTATGAGCAATTATCAAACCCTGGGAGGCACTTCAGCACTAATCAGCCCATAACATTTTCTGCATTGGAGCATCTGGGACTGGCTACATGGCTTGAATCCTGACTCTCATGAAATGAATGAGAGTTTTGCCACTGGGTTCAAGGGATCAAAACTTCATCTTCTATTACCAGGGCCAGAGATTAATCAGATTAAAGGCCATGTGGACTGCAGAGAAAATTAAATACCTTCTAGCAGTTACTTGGTGTCTTCTCAAGACAAAATAGCAGCTTGCTTCCACAGGTTTCTTTGTCTCTTTCAGCCAGACAAAATACTTCCTGAACTCAATGGGAAATGTGTCCAAATAGGGAGTAAGTACCCCTAAGCCCAAGGGCTGAACACAGCAGAACCAGATGTTGGCATCTGGGGTGAGATTCCTGGTGCAAAGATGTTTGTATGCTCTTTGAGAGCATCTCTGTGCTGGGGCTGGTGTACACACTCAAATAAACAAGTCACACTAGCTAATATCCAGACTAGGGATCTCAGATTTTCTTTCAACAGGAAACTGTCCCAAGATCTGCTACAGTTTGGCAAAGGCACGACACTGTATTACTTTCCATTTTGTTTTACTGTTGTTGAAATTACAGGAAAATAAATATTTTGGAGATGATACATTGTGTATCCCTAATAAATACCATGGGCATTTAATATAAACTATGGACACATGGTTTGCTTTGTTGTTCTAAGTAACTATTTCCTTTTAGCCAAATGAAAAACCAGTTGTGCTGTGATGCTGCAGATTATAAATTAGCAGCTCTCATATGGTTTTGTGCAATTGTTTCTTGAAGAGCTTTAGGCTACTTCAGACAAAAATTTCAAATAAAATGTGAATTCATTGAACTGTAACTTGTGGTATTAGTTTTATAATAAACAAAGGTAGGTCACATAATCATGTCATGAAAAACAACATTTTAAAATTCAAGCAGCAACCTTTTAATCCATTTCAGGTTCTGATCCTGAAATTGAAAAGAAGCTTGGCTCTTTCTGCTTCCCAGCGCATGAAACCAAGACCAGGCTGTCCTGGGAGGGAAGAAGCCAGCCAGGCATGCACTGCCAGCCAGGTTCGCTGGGCTGGGAGGGGAGCAGGCAGATTTCTTCTCACCCAGAGAAGAAACCGCCCAAAGGCAGCAGCAGTTCCCAGGCCAGGCCAGGAGAGGAGGGGGCTCTGAGCAGGTCCTGCTCCCACTGCTGGGCAACAGCTGGGGAACAGCTGGAATCCAGGCTGGCTGCAAGGAGACCCCGGGGCAGCAGACTGAGGGGGACCTGCCTGATTTCCAGCCTCAGCCACACTGATGTCAAATATCTGTCCTCTGCCCGTGCACACTGACCTTGCGTGGCTGAGGTGAAGCTGTTCTCTAGAAACGTCCCACTTACCTTTAAGGGAACCTCATTTTTGGGATGGAAAACACATGTTTTCCTTAGTCATGCTGTATGGTCTCATAAAGACCCCTGGGACCTTGTCTGCCACATGGGACCTGTATCTGCAGGACCATCCCTTAGCCTTGTCTCACCCAAGTTATCTCCCAGCAGGGGATGCATGGGACAAGCCACATGAAGTGTTCCTGTGCAATCTCAGCTCCCAGCACCTTGTTCTGTCCCCTGTCCCTTCCCATCAGGTGACAGCAAAAGGAATAGAGGGCTGCTGGAGGTGATGTGAAGGAGCAGACCACCCTGAGTGCTGGGGACACACACCCAGGTACCACCAGCAGGTTCACCAGCACTCACTGGCAGAGGAGGTTCTGTAACAAAGCCCTCTCACCTGAAACACTCCTTTTTTGACAGATGTTTATTTGAGAGGAGCCTCAGTTTTTATTTAGAGGATATTTTCCAAAATAAAAATGAATAATTATGTCAACTCTGTGCTTCAGCATCATAAAGCTGTGCCCTGCTACTTAACAGACAGGGAGGAAAATTAATATACCTGAATAAAAATAATTTTTTTTCTTTACTTCTAAGCCTGCCTGAGTTTGAACCATTTCTACCATGACAACAGCATAAGCTGAATTTGGAGAGGGAAGACAATACTGGAGCTGAAAGTCCAACTGAATTTTTTTCCCCTGTGAGGAATATTCCTACTAAAACAAGTCAGTTTTTTGTGTTCTGGCTCTACAGCCACGTGGGCATGTGCACAGCACATCTGAAATTGATATCTCTGTCTTAATTCAGGGTTGCAATTACTGGAGCTGAAGTCTAAATTTTTCCAACCACCAAACTCCCGAGCTAAATGACTGTACAGCTACTGAAATTGATTATCAGGCTTCCTGTTTCCTCGCTTGTGACCCAGTAATATTGACATAAGGTACAAGGAAATTGCAATCAGCACTACTAGTAGCAATAGCTGGAGGCAATTGCAAAATAACTATTGCTGGTGGTGGCACATGGGCTCCTGTATTAGATTTAGCTGTACTCTGATTGTACTGCACTTACTTCAGATAGCAGGAAATTCTATTTTTCGTTTTTTAAGTTACAGCCAAGAAAACATTTCTGTTTGCTTCTGTATTTCATCCTTTTCTCTGTCATGGCCTAAATAGAAAACCTTGTCTCCTCAGAGATCCAGTCTGTTTTGTCTCCAACATGGGCAATGCCTTGGAGAAAATCATTTTATGTCTCTGTGTGTCCTCCAGGCAGCAGACAGAGTCCACCTTTGCAAAGAATTTTGTTAGAAACATGCTGTAGCAGCACGCTGACATTACGGACCTTCCCCATTCTCCCCACTTGCTGTCACTGCTCCTGTCTGTGTTTTCATCTCCCCTGGAGCTCGAGCATCTTGTCCACCCTGCCACCGAGCAGCTGCCCCAGATCAGTTTTGCACAGGGCTGAGTGGTGCCTAAATGTGTAGGAACTAACAGCACTCAGATTCCATGAGAGTCCAGGAGTAGGACTTTAAGGAATGCACAAAAGTATAAAGAGAACTGGCATCGGGTTGCAAGGCTTGGAAATGTTGCTTTTAATAAATAATTTTCTTTTTCCCATTTTTTTAGTTCATATAGAGCAAACCCATGTTCCCAGCTAAATGAAAAAAACTTTTGATCACATATTAACTCACATTGCCACCCGTTCCAGCAAAAATTGTGCTGTTGCAGCAATTAGAAGCATTTTACAGATGTTTCTTTCAAGAAAATGCCCACAAAAACCCTTTCTACTGGCAGTAAAAATGAGCAGACAACACCTGTAATTTCAAGAGGAGTCCCTGGCACTGGCAACAATGATATTGCAGAGAATTATTGAACCACTCTCTTCACAGGATATCCATAATGCTGGGATTGATGTTCAAATCTATAGAATTCATGCAGAAACTTAAAATAATTTTGCTACAGTGAACGTTCCTTGGATGCAAAATCTCCTGGAGCGCCCAGCTTGGCTCTTGTGATATTCCCTGTGCTATTCCAAAGAGGAACAGAATGCAGAATCACAAGCACAGAGGCTGCACAAGCAGAGAGTTTGACTTTGCCTCCAGAGAAGTTTCCCAGGCCAACCTGGGCTCATTGCATTTGCTGCAGACGTAGCCTCGGTGCCATCCTGGAGTAATGATCCGTGCCTGAGGAAAAGTGGATTGTCATGGATCGTGGCTCCCCAACAGGCCAAGCTTTCCAGAGGAAAAGTTCACCAGAAGTGGGAAAGTTGTTTGGGTTGCTGGGTTGGTTTTGTTTTTGGTTTTTTTTTCCCTACTTTGTGACCTGTGACAAAAAAACCTTTTGTTAATGAGCTCTGCCCTCCTCTGTCCTTCAGAAGTCGCTGGGGCTTTGCGTGCAGGATGAAGCCACAGCAGAATTTAGCTGTGAGTGTGGATAAAATAGATAAATCTGCCTTGTAATTACAGAGATTTTCCACCTGCAACCACTGCTGAAGGTGCAAGGCAGCATCTGCTGGGGCCACCGTGAGCTGTAACAAGGATGCTGTGCAGCACTTTCTGTCTCTTTGGGCTGCCAGATGTTTGCAATTCAAACAAAAGCTTAGCTCTAACAAACCCTGGCCTTTAAGGCTTGGAAACCTTCTGTGAACCTTAAGAAAAATGAATATTTAAGAACTTGAGGAAGCAGACATGCCAAAATGCTGTGAAAGTGACTTTTATTACTGAAATTTTTCTTGCTCTAAATGGGACAAAGTGGAAATTTCACTGCTACTCTGAGGTGTCAAGACAAAATGAAGTTCAGAAGAGTTTCACAAATGTAGGCAAAACTGTCCATTTTCTCAAACTCTTAGTCTGGTCTCTCTCTGGTCATGATGAAGTGGAAGATGAGAAGATGAGTGTATCCAGAAAATGAGCAAGCCTGTCCTGTCTTCTCCATGTTTGTGTGGAGCCAGGCTGTTTTACCCTTAACCAGGTGCTAATCTCCTTTTTAGGAGATTAGAAATTTTTTAGATTAGAAGATTTTTAGAAGTTAATGGCAATTTCACGTTGATTAGCTATGTGCAAAATGATGCTTGAAATGAAAAGTCCCCAGTAAACCGACTTGTCATCACCAAAATCAGTTCAAGTTGCACAATGTTTTTCTTGCTAAGATAATTAGTCTTCAATCAGAGTAAATTGGGGGGGTAGCTGGGTTATTTTAAGGCAGTGTTATTCTTTATTAAAGAAAACTTTTTTGTATTTGTATTATTTCCACAAAGTGATTCAGATAATTGCTTAATGCTTTGTCATTCTAGTACATAATCCCTCAGCATCTGAACAGTATCAGTGGGAGCAGAACTTGGCAAAGCTACCTGTAGATTTTTTTGCCCAATATTTCCATGCCAAACAGAGAACATCTCAGGCAATGAGGAATGAAAACTTTCTAATTTTTGCCTGCAAATTGATCTTGAAATACAATGTATTCCTCTAGCTGCTGCTTCAGGATTGCTTTCACTTTACTTTGGGTTTATATATTACATTTTAGCCAGGTTTAACCCCAGTCAATAGGTGCACCTTGGTTTCCTGAGATAAATAACTTGACTGGCAAAATCAGGACCCCAGACTCATTTGTCCTTCATAAAGGTTTGTTTTGTTTGTTTAAATATTAGCATCCACCAGCTGTGCAAAATAGACCTTTTTCATTAGCTGGTTGATCATGGTGGGAAAAGCTATTAATTTGGTCAATTCCCAGCAATGAACTGTGAGGTTGATACCAAACCACAAACTGATGAAAACAATAAATGCTAGACTGTATTAACTGTAAAGGTTAATCCATAAATCAAAGGGAAATGTCAGATGCCTTTTAACATTGATTGAGATGTAATTTGGTGTTGGTAGTGATATGTTTGTTACATAAATTCACAAATGCACTCAATTCCTGTTAGGAGTCCAGGTCTTTGTAACTTATAATAAATTAAGTACTTTGCTTTATTTATGTTGCAATGTAACCATGTAAAGATTGATTACCTCTTCCTGTTCAAGTTACAATATAGCACCAGTCTTAAAATAAGTGAATATTAATATCCAGATCTTCTTCCAGGGTACATTTGACTTGTTATAAAAATGAATACATTCTTGTTTTTCCTGAAAGTATGCCATTACCTTAAGTATGTTTAAGGCATGTTTTCCTTTTAATTTTTGGGTTTGATTCATGTTTTTCAAATTACTGCACAAGAATTAGCCTTTGTATAAATGTGCTCAGAAATATAGAACACATTGTCTATATTACAGATACATCATATTTCAATATATAATATAAAA